CAAATCTGTTCTTCATATAGTCCATTGCATTATGTGCTACTTTTTCCAAATAGTGAGCCTGGTTGGCATCCTAATATTCCTGCACTTATTGAATCAGAAGATGTGCAATTAAATGACGATAACAAAAACTTGAACAATTCTGAAGACTGCAGTGAAGAAGAAATTCCTTTCTTTAGTATATCATCGAGCAATGCATTTAATTTCAAATAAAAACACGTGCGCAAATGTTGAGACGGTCGTGTGTACTTTGTCCAGGTAATAACGCTGTTTGGATTTCTTTCCAGCTTGGATTGCATGTCATTGTGATGAATAAATCAGGTTTTCCTGTTTGCCCAACGATGGTCATGGCGTCCTGGTAAAGTTGATGCATATGACGTGGTCCACCAACGAAGCTAGATGGAAGGATAATACTTTTTCCAATGCGTATTCTCTTATCAATTTCTGTAGTGTTTTGTGGAACTTCATCAATAGTAGTGAGTGCATCCTGTACTCCATTATACAATTCGGCTCGAATTTTTTTTTGATTTTTTTATATTGTTATCACAGCATATTTTGTATAGTTAACATATGCATATGTTTAAACCAAATCTTGAAAGTTGCCTTACACTTTTTTCAATCAGCCTTTAAAACTCTTTTTAACTAGAATTAAACAGAATTTATTTGTTCTTATGTTCCAAACCACGCTACAAAAAATGTAATGAAAATAGGTTAAAAATGAAAATTCTAACATATTTAAAACAAACATTTTTAATAGCGTGCAATATTCAAAAATAAATAAGTAAATAAAGTGATTAATTTTCACTTAATAACACATTATATAATTTTCTGCCAAGCCTAATTTTAACACGATTTTATCGACAAATAAAGCGCATAGGACCCCGAAAAAATGCACGAGGACCTATTTTTTTTTGCGTTTTTTTTGGTGGTACAAATCTGTACATATAAATTGGTATCATGATCACATTTTTTCATACTCTTTCTTACAATAAAATTAGCATTTTAAATTAGCATTCATAATTTCAGCATGTCCAATATTAATAAATTAAACTCATCCGATTATATGTCTTTTGAAGTAACTGAAATAGAGATAAGCAATAATTTGTCTCTCGAATTGAATGACCTTGATACCAATATGTCTGTTAAAGTAATAGAATTAGAATCAGCAGTTAACATGTCATTCGAATTAGCTAATTCAGAATTAACAGAAACTGCATTAACAACTTCTGTACCTGCACAAGATCTCTTAGTCAGAGAACGTTCTTCATCAAAACTGGGACAAAGCCCTATGCCTCAAGATGCCGAAAACACAGAAACTGCATGTGATCATAGAAACCATCTTAAAAGAGAAGCTTATGCATGTCGAAAATCCACTCTTATCAGTTTACAACTTGAACAGCGACGTTTGCAACGCCGAAATGCCTATACACAACGAACAGAAACTGAATCAACTGAAAAAGCTGAAGAACGAAGATCAAAGCACCGAAAATTAAATACACTTGCTTCTAATAGTGCCCAAACTGAACATTATGATAGTGGTAGTGTAACATTGCATAACTTAGGATTCATGAACCTTGAATGTAAAGATTGCAGTGCTTTGCATTGGAAATCTGAAAAGGTATCCGGTATAATAAACAAACCAGTCTTCAGCACATGCTGTGCAAAAGGCAAAGTTCATTTGCAACCACTAGCTCCAAGTCCTCTATATCTACTTGATCTTTTTACTGAAAATACAACACGCGCACGAGATTTTTGGAAAAAAATCTGCATGTACAATTTAGTTCTCACTTTTACTTCAATGGGCGCAACAATTGATGAACAAGTTACAGGAACCTGTGGCGTCTACTCATTCTGTATACATGGCGAAATGTATCACCGAATAGGATCTCTTCTACCTAACGAATCTGCTAAACCCAAGTTTTGCCAAATTTATCTATATGATACAGAACAACAGCATCAACGTAGACAGCGTATTATGCCCGATTTGGACCCTTCTACACTTTCTGGGCTACAAGCAATGCTACATGAAGTTAATCTATATGTGCATACATTTCAACAAGCCGCACAACT